TGCTGGTGGCCGAGTGTTTGTGTTCTCCTGTACATCAGGAAGCCCTTCCAACTCTTGATTGCATTGGGTGTGGCTTTTGACTTGCTTTCCTCTTTCTCAACCGCTTTCGTGTCCTTCTCTGCAGCCAGGAATTTGAGTCTGAGCAAGTTCCTGAGCTAACCGTCCGCGACGTTCACAGCGCGAGCTCCCTCTGCAAAATGTACTTCAGGGAGCTCCCGACCCCCCTGCTGACCGACCAGCTGTACGACAAGTTCTCGGTAAGCACAAGGCAACGCCTTTCCTTTCCCTCTTTGCTGGGCCTCTTGGGAGATGGCTGCAGCAGTGCCCCAGCTCTGAGGCCCTTCTTCTGTTAGCCCCTTGGGGTTTACTCGCATGTCTTTGCCACATCCTGCATCGTGCTGATGCCGCTTCTGGTGGCCCCAGGAGGTGGTTATTTCCATATTCACAGTGCTTGCGAGAATTCCTGTGTTGTTTGTTTGTTTGTTTGATTTTGCTATTCCCCAGCTATTTCTGGAACAGGAAGGGGATTAATAGCCAAGCGTACTTGGAGATGAATGCCCCCTGCGAGGAGCTGAGCTGCCCAACCAGGCTGTAAACCGGCCCGGTGCTTGGACTCCTTGGCCGTGGTGGCACCAGCTGCGTGCCGCTATGTTTGCCAGATGCCTCTGGGGAGGCCTAAAATCTTTCTCAGTGCTGACCAGCAGCGCGCTGTGCCCATGGTTCCCGACCCTGCGGCAGGTATCTCGCCTGATTTGTGTCTCAATCCCTTTCTGCCCTTTTCCAGGATGCTGTTGGTGCCACTACAGAGGAGGAGCGGCTGGTCAGAATGCGGGACGTCATCCAGCAGCTGCCCGCTCCTCACTACAGGTCAGTGCTGCCCTCAGCCTGCTGAGCTCAGCCCTGCTGCACTTCAGAGGGCAATGGTGCGATTCCAGGCTTTGTCTCACGTGAGCAACACGATGCCTGGGTATGTTGAAGCGGTTGAAGGCTGCACCGGTTTAATTTACGGGGTTAATTTATTGGGTCAGTTCCTGGGCACGGGGGTAGGCTTGGTGCAGCTGATGGCTGTGGCTGTGCTGTGCTGGTGCTGGGTGCTGCAGCGTGGCACTTGGTCAAGTTGGATCTACTTCATCTTCAGCATCAGTAGCAGTAATAACAACTAGTGTGAATTGAGGTTTGCTTTGTGAGTGGCAGCACGGCATGCTGGCTGGTGCTGAACATTTGCCTCTCTTGTTTCCCAGGACCCTGGTGTTCCTGATGAGACACTTGGCCTGTCTTGCTGCAAACAGCTCTGTCACCAACATGCATGCTAAGAACTTAGCCATTGTGTGGGCTCCAAACCTCCTAAGGTAAACTTCTTTTTCCGTTTCAACAGAACGCTTACATCTGTTCTCCAGTAGAATAAAGCAGTCCTCCCTTCTTCTGCACCACATGTGCTCTTCTCCTGTAAAATGTGCAGTGAGTGGCTGACAGCAGAGCAGGAGCCTGGACTGTTCTCCAACCCCGCGTGGGCACAATTTCTAGCTGAGCATTGCTGCTCTCTTGTTTAGATGGGACTGGTGTGTCCTTGATCAGACAGGAGAACTTCTTCAGTGGCATCTCTTATATGCCCGCCGCGGAAGTCTCCTGAGAACAAATGTGACAGCTTTGGTCTGCAGTAATTCAGACCTGGGGAAGCGATCTTGGCTGAATGACTTCTAAAACCTGCCTTTTCTACAGATCACAGCAGAGCGAGTCTGCCTGCGCCAGCGGGAGAGCTGCCTGCACGGAACTGCAGACGCAGTCGGCTGTGGTGGAATTCATCATCGACCACACAGACGTCCTCTTCTGCTCCACATCCGGATCGGACATTGCAGATGGAGCAGGTGAGTGTCTTCCTCCATTAGCTTTATCTTGGTCAGACACCTGGATCAAATGCAGGCCTTTTCCAAGTCCTTTGAAATACACTTTTCCTGTCGAGGGAACAGCAGACTTCTGGGCTTAGATTGGAATCTGGCGTCCAGTTGCTGGATGCTGAGAATGTGCAAGCCCAAACTTGACAAGGAGAAAAAACCATCACTGTCATTATGATGTTTTGCAAGCAGGTGAAGCTTGATTAACGTGTGGCAGCGGAGCTTTCTCAGTTCCCTGCCCCCATTTTCTAGGGTTTTTGTTTGCCTGTTTCGATACAGGGAGCTGCTCTTAATGATGACTGCGTCCTTTGCCATAGACACACCTCTGAGCACATGGTTGTTTTGAGCTGCTCTTCTTCCAGTGGCTCGGTTAAGCAAGTCTGAGGAAAACACAGCAGCTCCCCCAGACCTGCGATGGCTGTGCTGCCGCTTTCTGATCCTGGCTCTCACCTGTGGTTTTCCCTTCCAGGGCACAGTTCTCTCTCAGGGCCCCAGTCTGTGCAGGCGTCTTCTCCTGCCACAGAGCTGCTCAGCCTGGAGGAGGCGCAGGCACGGAGGCGAGGCCACAGCAGCTCTCCTGTCGCTGTGACAGAGAGCAGGGACATAGAGGTGGAAGAAGGCCCCACAGCTGTACGGGGGAAATTCCACACAGTCATCGACTTTCCACCTGAAAGGTAAAGAGGACTTTGTTTTCCAGCAGCTATCATCACTGTTTGGGTGGGTTGTGTTTGTTCTGTCTCCATTATTTCTAGTGCCTAAACTTGTGGAAATTAGATTTAATGAATGGTGCCTGAAGTGTTGCAGTGAATCTCCCCTCCCTTTGGACTGTGAGATTCAACTAACATTGAGTTGCCCGCCGGGCTCAGTTTAGCCTCACAACGGTGCCGTTCCTTCCTTGCTGGGCAGGCAGTGACGAGATGCACAAAGCCACGCTGACGTCTACCCTGGCCTGTGCTGGCTGTACCTGGAAAGGTTGGGGTTTTCCAGATTTCAGAGCCTCGTGCCTGAATCCAGTTGTGGTTCTCCTCTACGCAGAGCTGTTGGTCAGACCTGCTGACACTAGAAACTAGACATGGCAGTGAAATGGGCTGATGAGCTGTCAGTGTCAGAGTCAGAGATGCTTTTGAAGTTCCTTTATGGCTGTGCAATTGCTCAGCCAGCAGTTATGCCTGCCTACTCAATCAAAGCCACCCTTTGATGCTGTCCTGTACAGGTGTGGAGCCTGTGGACCTCACATGCTCTGCATCTTGCTTGACACAGTTGAGGGGAATTTAGCCAGCAAGACTTCAGGGCTGAGCTATAGGAATGGAACCATCCTCAACTGCTTGAAATGGAGCGAGTTTCTAAGCTGTGTTTCAGCAGGAACCAGGCGGTGCTAGGAACAAGCAACTGTTGGCACGAGCTCAGTGCAGCTCTTCCCTCACCCTGCGCCACGCACAACTCACACCATTCCCTGTTTTCTCTCTCCAGACCAAGTCCACCCAGCAAGATAAAGGAATCACCAGCTGGCTGTTGGTGTTCCTGCTTCAGCCTGGGGAAACCATCGTCTGGGGCCAAACGCCAGCCACAGCACCATCCCAGGGAGCCCTCAGAAACAGAAATCGTAGTGCTGGCAGGTAAGGGTGCAAATCCAGCTTTCAACGCCTTGCTTTTCAGCAACGTAGAATTCTTGCTGTCAGTGGGCTTGTATCTACTTCCAGCATTCCAACCCATACCTAACACCTTTAGTTCTCCCCTGATCAAGAACCCCTTTTGTAATTCAGCTTGTGAAAGTTTGGCACTAACCCCCTGTGTATCCTTCCTAGATGAACTGAGCCCTTGTCCACCCAGAAGAGCTGGAGAAAGTAGCGAAGCTGGGCTGTGTGCTTCCACCAATGGAGAGCTCTTGGGAAGCACAAATGGCTGCGGATCACGTGACAGCCTTGCACGTAACAACAGTGATGGAGAGAGGGAGCTCATCCAAGTTGAAGCCCTCATTTCTCCCGGCTGTGCTGAAGATGCTGACCTGTGCCCACCAGGCACCGCAGTCACCAGCCTGGACTGTGACCCGGCACCTTTGCAGTGCAGCCCAGCCCAAGTACAGTCCGAGTGCCCGGACAGCAACACCTCTGTGCAGGAGCAGGTCAGCATCAGCGAGGAGGAGCAGCAGAGCCTCTTGGAGGGGGGCGTACAATCAGGCCTCCAGTCCCAGGCACCGTGCAGCATCTCTGAGAGCTCTGAGCCACTCTCTACGTGATCTTTCCATCCAAGAGAGGACGATTCCCATCTTTACCTGGACCTCTCACGCCCTCCTGTGTTTTCCTTTGATAATAAAAGCGCACTTATACTCACTCAACGCCTTGAGTGCCTGTGGAGTCTTCATTCACGAGGACTGGGATGAATGCGGCACACAGCAAGGCACCTCTGCTGGCAACGCTGAGGCTGCAGGGTGCACGAAGCAGAGCTCTGGGTTATTTCCCATTCTGTCTGGCTTTGGGATGTCTGCAGGTCCCAGTTGGTACGGTAGCAAATAATCTCTATCATCTTGGATTCTGCTCGTGGTGACCCCAAGCTTCCTGGCGGTGGCTTTGTGATGCCTTTCAGGGCTTTTGGATGCACTGTGATGCCTTGGCTGCTCCCTAGCACCTCTCCCCTCCGGCAGCGTCCGTTCCTTGAAGGAATCAGCAGCTGGCTGTTGGTGTTCCTGTTTCAGCCTGGGAAAACCATCTTCTGTGGCCAAACGCCAACTGCAGTGCAATGCCAGGGAGCCTGCAGAAATGCAAGTCGTAGTGCTGGCAGGTAAGAGTGCAAATCCTGCTTCCAAAGCTCTGCTTTCCAGCAACATAGAATGCATGCTGTCACTGGGCTTGATTGCCCTTCTAGCGTTCCAGCCCATACCTGACACCTTCAGTTCTCCCCTGATCAAGAACCACTTTTGTAATTCAGCCTGGGAGAGTTTGACACCAACCCCTGTTCATTCTTTTATAGGTGATTCGTGCTCTTGTCAACCGAGCAGAGCCAGAGCATGTAGTGATGCTGGGCTGTGTGCTTCCACCAATGGAGAGCTGTTGGGAAGCACAAATGGCTGCGGTTCAGCTGTTAGCCTGCCGCATAACAACAGTGATGGAAAGAAGGAGCTGATCCAAGTTGAAGCCCTCATTTCTCCCGGCTGACACAAAACTGGGCAGAGTGGCTGACACAGCAAAAGGCTGTGCTGCCTTCCAGCGAGACCTGGAGAGTTGGGTGGGGAGAAACGGAATGAGAAAGAACAAGGGCAGGTGTGGAGTCTTGCATCTGGGCAAGAGCAACCTGAGTACCAGTATAGGTTGGGGGCTGAGCTGTTGGAGAGCAGCGTAGGAGAAAGGGATCAGGGGATCCTGGTGGGCGGTAGGAGGAGCATGAGCCAGCACTGTGCTCTCGTGGCCAAGAGGGCATCGTGGGGTGTATGAGGAAGAGTAGGGATAGGAGGTGGAGAGGTGCTCTTTCCCCTCTACTCTGCCCTGATGAGTGGAGCATCTCCCTGTGAGGAAAGGCTGAGAAAGCTGGGTCTCTTTAGCTTGGAGGAGACTGAGGGGTGACCTCGTTGATGTTTATAAATGTGTGAATAGTGAGCGTGAGGAGGATGAAGGCAAGCTCTTCTCAGTGGCATCCAGTGATAGGACAAGGGGCAATGTGTGCAAGCTGGAGCATAGGGGGTCCCACATAAATAAGAGGAACAACTTCTTCACGGCAAGGGTAACAGAACACTGGGATGGGCTGCCCAAAGAGGTTGTGGGATCTCCTGTGGAGACATTCAGCAGCTACGTGGACATGTTCCTGTGTGCCCTAATCTAGGTGATCCTGCCCCAGCAGGGGGATTGGACGAGGTGATCTTTGGAGGTCCCTTCCAATTCCTGACATTCTGTGATTCTGTGCAAAGTTGGTTCACGGTAGTACTTTTGCTGCTGGGAAATAGGAGCGCTGATCTTTGGGGTAAGTTCAGCAAGGTGGACTCCCCTAAGCTGATACTGACTTCATCCTATAGCGTTGACTTCTGTCGTGATTTATTCCATGCCAGAAGTTCCGGATGCTGTCAGGAGTTATTCAAGCCCATTGGTGTTAATTTGACCCTGGACTGGCTGCTGCTTGACATGCTGTCTGCACAGAGGTAACACATGCATTAATTTGTTTCCTGTCCTCTGCTGTTTTGTCTCTTGTTTTTAGTTAATGCTGAAAACCCACCTACGGCTGTGGTTGGGAAATTGGTTCACTTGCTCGATCGGACCCAGATTTTCAGGAGGAGCTGGAGCTAGTGAAACTGTGTGAGGAAGCTGTGACCTTGATCCGATCTAATCAACAGCTTGAAAATGACCTCAATCTCATGGACCTCAAGATTGGACTGCTAGTGAAGAACAGAATGACACTGCAGGTAGGAAATGCAGTGCTGGGAGACGAGCAGAGTGAATTGAGGCCAGTGGCAGTTAGCATGAGGACCTTCTGAGCCTGGATCTCACTTACTCAGATGCAGTGGGAAGTATTTCCCCCCGAGTTACAGGTTTTCCTCCCAGTAAGTTCCTAACTGTTCCACTTATTACTATGTATCCCTAGAAAGAGAACTGCAGCAGAAACATCAAGGCTTCAAGTGTTTTAAAAACAAAGCACCAGAAAAAAACCCACTGGGGACCAAGGGAAAGCAATAGATGGTATGCTTGAAGGCTCTGAGAACTGTTTGTCTGTTCACTTGTGGTTACGTGAGTCATGGACTTGCACACCTTAATTTCTTCTCACGTTTTGTGTGCTGTATCAGAGGGGGAGGTGATTTTGGAGCAGGAAATGTGCTCAGACTGCTTGGTGTTGGTTGGCTGATGGAAGCCCCCTCAGTCACTTTGCTGACGATTGATTGCACACAAGAACAACGTTGCTGATACAGCGGTGCCTTTTTTTAACTCAAGCTGAAGTTACAGTCACCTTTTCCTTTGGTCCTGAATAGCGTGGCGCTAGGCTTGACCTTGTGTAAAATCTGAACCATGGCAGCAGTGAAGTTCAGTTCCAAAGGAGGCTCCAGCTCTTGGGCTGATGCTGGCAGCAAAAAGTATCATCGTTATCAGAGCAGTGGAGGCAGGGAGTCAGCAAAATGGAAACAGGGCTTGGGGCTTCAAGCACAGTTGAGAAAGAAAGGCATTTTCAAGCATCTTCAGAACGCTACCAGCTGTGACAGTAGTCCCTGCTCAAAGCAATTAGTCCTTGTAGGTTCTCACCCAATTCTGGAATGTGGGGACAAGACAGAAATCGCTGCTACAACAGATAATGTTTCACTTCATGATCTCCTGATGTACCTTGACTGCCTTATCCACACAAAAGGAAGTGCTATCGTGCAGCTTTTTCCCATATTGCGTGTTATTTAAATGTGGAATCTGTCCCTCTGTGTTCTTTGCAGGATGTTGTTTCTCATAGCAAAAATCTTAGCAAGGAGAACAAGGAACAGCTCTGTGACGTGGTGACGCTGAACGAGCAAAAGGGAGGTTTGCAAGCTTGGAGCAAAGAGGAGAGGGAAAAGCTGGAAGCCTATCAGCATCTTTTCTACTTGAGGTATGCAGCTTTTCATTCACTGCTCTTGTCATAGATGCTTACGTGTATTGGAACAGTCTGTACTTCTGCACTGCGGTGTTGAGGCGCTGTCTGTCTTTGTGGTGTTGGCTTTTGTGGACACGTGCTGTATGGGAACTGCTGAGTCATGGCCTGAACCTCTGATTGATCACCTGAGGCTAGCAGTGAGTCAGGCAGAGGAGCACAGGTGAAGGCAATGCAGCTGTGCTGCTGGAAGGGGTGCAGCCTGGCTACAGCCCTCCTAGACCTGTTTAAGAGCTGGCTGCCAGTGGGGAAGGATCTCGTCTGGAGATCTGCTCTGCTGGAGTTTTGTAAGTGAGCCCAGGATAGGGGTAAGCCTTCTATTTATTCTCCTTTTGTTAGCTTAGTCTGCTTTGTCAAACTCTCTTGTTTATTTCATAATGACAACATCTTAATAGTCATTGATTATACACGTGCACTAAGTACTTTTTCTTCTTGTTTTAGACTACTCCAACGTACTTGGCCAAGCTGCTTTTGCAGATGCCTCAAAACAACCCCACAGAGTTCATGGATTCAGCCATCTTCACGCTGCATAACTACGCATCCAGTCAGAGAGAGGAATCTCTGCTGTTGCGGCTGTTGCAAACAGCATTGCAGGAAGAGATCAAGTACGTTGTAGCATAGGACACAGCCTTGCTGTTGCCTGAGTTTGGGCCGCTGCTAAAATTGCAGCTGTTGTTGTGTGATGTCCCGTGCTCATTAGCTGATAATGCTGACCTGTCCCTGCCTTCTGCTCATGCTGTTTCACGTCAGTCCTTTCTGTAACCTGGAAGGAGGAGGAATTACCTTTGTTCTTTAGGATTAAAGCCATTTTTCTTTAGCCAGTGCTTTCTTGCTCAGGGAGGCACTGTTTTTGATCTACTGCAGTGCTTTCCTAAGATTCATTCCCATCTAAGTTCTCTGCTGTCTAGTAAGAAGGACTTGGCACAGACTGCGAGCTTGGGCTTTACAGGCCAGAGTGAAGCTGACGCGAAGGTCACTGTTTTCCAAAACTGATGAGGAGGCTGAAAATCAGATGCTGTCTGGTTTGGGTTTTTTCCTGGCTGTCAGGCTTAAGGATTCTGGCTGTCTGTCGGCATAATTGAGTTGATTGCCACTTAGGAGTTTGGTGTTTATGACTTCTGGCTGATACGGAGCTTCACAACTTGCTAGGAATAGCAAATACATGTAATGTTGGAGGCAGTCATGCCTTTTTTGATGTTTTTAAGTGTGAGGATGGTATGTGCCCTCCAACAGGTAACGCCTAAAAGGTTTGTTTAATTATTATTATCTTTTTTTGGAGTAGTAGTTCAGGAAAGTGCATGTCTATGCTTTATTCTCTGCTGCTGGATTTCCCATAGCGGCATGCTGTGAATGGCTTTTGTTGCTGATTGCTTACTTGTTTAAATACTGAAAGGAAATAGTTGTGCCTGTGTAGAAGTCCCTTTGTTTCCTCTGTATTTTTGAGATGCGCTCTTTCAACCGTGGTGCCCGTGGTCAGAACGCACTGAGGCAGATCTTGGCCCCAGTTGTGAAGGAGATAATTGAGGACGAATCGCTCAACGTCAGAACGGATCCAGTGGATATTTACAAGTGCTGGGTGAACCAGATGGGATCTCAGAATGGTGAGGCCGGGTATGGAAGCTGTTGCTACTGTTTTTTTCTGAAAGTTGCTCAGCTGCTTTGCATTGCTCTGTTAATCGTTCCGAACCATCCCTGTATTCATTGCATGCATCTGTCCAATTGCTACCAGCTTTTTTCCATCAGCTCGAGATGGCTTTCTTCTGAAAGGTATAAAGATCACAGAATTGTAGGGGTTTTAAGGGACCTCCAGAGCTCATCGAGTCCAACCCCCCTGCCAAAGCAGGTTCCCTACACCAGGTCGCACAGGTAGGCATCCAGGCAGGTCTTGAACATCTGCAGAGAAGGAGACTCCACCACCTCCCTGGGCAGCCTGTTCCAGTGCTCCGTCACCTCACTGTAAAGAAGTTCTTGCGCATGTTTGTGCGGAACTTCCTATGCTGCAGTTTCCAGCCGTTTCTCCTTGTCCTGTCTCCACTCACCACTGAAAACAGTCTGGCCTCACCATTCTGCCCCCCACACCTTAGATATTTATAGACCTGGATCAGGTCCCCTCTCAGTCTTCTTTTCTCAAGGCTGAACAGACCCAGTTCACTCAGCCTTTCCTCATAGCAGAGATGCTCCAGGCCCTTCACCATCTTCGTGGCCCTCCGCTGGACTCTTTCCAAGAGATCCCTGTCTTATTTGTACTGGGGAGCCCAGAACTGGACGCAGTAGATCATCTTGTGACAGGGGTGTTGAGACTATTAGAAGTGAATCTCATGAAGAGGTAGGCCAAAAAAAGCCCCAAAGCATTTCTTCTGTGTTAACTCATAGATACAGATACCGTAGCTCTTACTCTACCAAGCCAATCTCTGCCCACAACTCGGGCAGGCTGCCCAAGGAGGCTGTGGATGCCCCATCCCTGGAGGCATTCAAGGCCTGGCTGGATGTGGCTCTGGGCAGCCTGGGCTGCTGGTTGGTGAACCTGCACGCAGCGGGGGGTTGGAACGAGATGAGCATTGTGCTCCTTCTCAACACAGGCCGTGTTCATAGAATCACAGCATGCAGCTGTTCCTGTCTGCCCATGAGAAGGTTTCATCCACGTGGTCATCCTGGTTGGTTGGCCTGTAGATCCCCCGCTACGTCATCTGTCCCTGTCCTCCCTTTAATCTGTGTCTATAAAGTCTTGATGGGCTCCCATCCGTCCCC